TTAGCAGGTTGTTATTTGTCTTTTAGCTGTTTTGATATGTTTTTAATAAAATGACTTTAAGTCCTTATTTAGTCCACCTATTCATCTTTAAGTTCAAGGGGCTTGGGTCACACTTAGAAGAGCCTTACTCTTTCAATATCATAAGATCACTTATCTGAGCTATCTAGGAATGTGAGGAATTTTTAATTTAATCAATCTTAAATTTATTTCTGGTATATAATATAAAGGAGAAATTCAGCTTTACTTTTTTTTTAATTGTTAGTCAGTGGCCCCAATACTATACTGAAGAATCCACCCTTTCTTCTCTCAATGAAATTCCATCTTTAATGTAAGATAAATCACATTATCGTTCTAAATCCTTTATTCTAAAACATTGATTTACATGTGTATTTCTGCAATAACACCACACTTTTAATTAGGTAGCTTTGCACTGTGTTTTCATATGCAAAATAATGTAAAATACCAAAGAGGATGGCACACACCGAAAATATTTCCTATCTTGTGCTAATTCCTAAATCAAAGATATTGAAAGTCTCAAGAAGAATAAATGAAACAGATATTAACACTAACAATACAAACTGATGAAAATATTATTCACAGCTTACATAGTGATTTCACATTATCTAATATTATGTTCCTCACACTACAAGGTAGTTATTGTTTCTTTTTCAATTATTATACAGAGTTAGCATTTGCTCAAAGTCTTGCCTAGGATCACAGAGCTAGTAACTAGCAGTGGTAAAACCTAAACTTCATATTATGTGACCTTTCCATGATCCCATTATATTAAAAATAGAGCAATTAGCCGTAAGAGCCCAAATTTCTCATTTTTTTAATCAAACTACCTTAACAAGTGCTGGGGGGAATATACACACACACATATACATATATACACATATATGTACATACACATATATACATATATGCATTATATACCTATACACATTCACAAACTCAAACATAGGCCTTTATTTGAATGAAGAGGAATTTTTTGCCCTTAACTTGTTCCTTTATTTATTTATTTTAATCTTTATTGTATTTTTTTTCCAATTCCATTTAGTCTCCTTATACTCCCCTTCCCCCAACAATCACCACACTGTTGTCCATGTCTATGAGTTCTTCCTTTTTTGCTCAATTTTTAAACCCAAACTTATATTCCTAAAGCTTTAATAATTTCACCAATATCATAGACCCTAACTACACAAGACAGTAACACTGAAACTGAAAAACTAAAAAATTGGACTATATTTTCTAAGAGACAGTTACCTTTGGTTTCCCAAACAAAAGTAGAAAGTGAAAATACTCTGTATTTTCATAAGAATATTTCCTTAAGTAATAATTGACTACTAACCCAAAAGAGATCCATTCTGGATACATTGCAAAACAGGTTCTGCTATCAGACCACTAGGAAGGATCCTGAAGCAGAAGAACATAGCTATGTGCATTAAAAGCCCAGGTCAACCCTCCAGGTCAACACTAGGATTCACTTGTGGGGGGCGGAGAGGATCACACTATCACACGTTAAAATTTGTAAGGCAGAGATTTCTCCACAAGACCATGAGACACCAACAACCACACAGAGTACTGTCATGGAACACAACCAGGAGAAAAAAAGACTTTTTTCGAAGAATAGCAGAAAGACAAAGAAGAAAGAAAAAAAGCCTCGTTTGAGGGGAAGGATATCATCCTATACTTTTCCCTTGGTGGCTGGATGGCATCTCTTCCCAGCCATGATGAGTCAATAGCAGACACAACCTCAAGTTGTAGAACCCAAAAAATGAAATATAAAAACATCTCCCTAGTTAAAGGTAAGCAAAAAGGAGCTTACCTTCCAAAATAACTTGTTTTTCACAATAGCAAATATAAATACATAAAAATAAGATTGGGGTCATATTCTACAGAGCAATGAATCCTGCAAAAATGATCGTGTGAGATTCATTTTAGTTTCTTCCTACAACATTCAAAGAAACAAACTTTAGTGAAAGGATAGCTCAAAAATAAAAAATGCAGAAAAATAAAACACTTTTCAGGTCATACGTTTAAAAACATAAAACACTCCTAAATAATAAAGGTAAATATATATAATGTTTTCTTTTCTAATATTTCAAGAAATAAGAAACTATCTAGAGGTTTCATTTATTTTCCAAAATTAAGGATTTCCCATCATCTTTTTGATTAGGGAATGAACAAATTCAGAGAGACTGATTCTCCACTCTTTGAAAATTTACAATGAATAAAATCATTGCTTGTTTTTTAAATTAGCTTAAAATTGAGATTAATGGTTCTACAAACAGATGAACATGTGTTTATATATACATATATTTTGTATGCCTATACTATATAAACACATCAGATTTCTGTAACTAAAAAATATTTTAATTAAATTATTATTTTTATTATCAAGGAGTTATATTAACCTAGAAACTAATTCCTGAAATACACAGATAATTCTATCTATTGGCTCTCTCACAGTATTGGAAACGTTTTTCCTCTTTCTAAATATCCCTCAGTGTGCTTACTTTCAGTACACGACCACGGCAGTGATTTAGGAATTGATATTCTGGTATAGAACTTTCTCTCTATATCCATATTAACAAGAATAAAAGTATTCTTTTATTTGAAGCTAGAAGTATACAAATTAAACTGATATTTAAAACAAAAAGCAAATAAACTCAAATTAGGTCAGAAAAATCTATTTTTATATTAACGAGTTGCTGGACATATTAAATATATAAATAAATAAAATTGCAATGTTTAACATATATCTTTATATGTTTACATGATGAAAGCTTACAGTTATTCAAGTTATGAACGCCAAATATATTGAGCGGTGAGACAGAATTATGATGTGGCGCCCTCTGCTGGGCTTTGTAGTTACAAACTCAACCTAACATCATAATTAGTAAAATCAAACACTTGAGGCATCAAGAGAAAAATTACTTTTCCAATACTTGATCACTTTAAGCCTTGGCAAATATTATATTAAAATTATAACTAATACTTTACTGTAAAAGGACTTTACAAATGTATAATTGAGAGAAATATCAGTATAGATTTTCCTTTTAAAATAGAGCGTAATGTAAAAATTACACTAAACAACATGTTTTAATAGATCTTATTTTTGTCACCACTTCTATCACTTGGCATATGCAGGTTTTGAATGCCACATTATAACAAAATAATATATTCAGGTTTTGAAGACTACATTTTCTACTTTTTACCAATTTACTGTTTTGGTAATTTAATTGATTTTTCCTGCATTGTTAGTTCAATCAAAACAGTTTACTTTAAAACATCAGACTAACTCTTAATATTGTTTTCATTATTAAAAAAAACTGAAAGAAGTTTTAGAGGTATTCATCGCTAGTAATAATAACTTCCATTTATTGTGTCAATCATGAGAATGTAACATATAATATATAGCTTCCATACGTTATATCCAGTTCCAAGAGATAAAAAAATTGTGGCTCATCGATATGATATAAATTGCTCAAGATGAATCTCAGAACCAAGATTCAACTGTAAGTAGGTTTCATTCCAAAGACTCAAACGTTTCTACCAAACAATAGACAGCAGCGAAAAAATATTTCTAACATGTGATTTCTCCATTTGTCAATGTGACAACAACTGGTAGTTTGGGGGTGGGGAGTAGTAGCAAGTTGATGGGAAAAAATGCTAGAGCAGTTAAAGGTAGTTATTCAATATACAATATAATAGCGTAGACCTTTAGGAAAATATTTTTGTTTTACATAATGCTGCCAGCTAGTGGCCCTATTTCATACTGAGTCACGGGGAGCCATACTTGACTTTTACATTAATAAAATAAAATCTCCATATTTAACATTCTCAAATCATGTTCCTAAGTTTTGTATGCATCAGCCTGACTTAATGATATTTTACCAGAACTAAAGGAGACTGCCTCCTCAACACCATTAGCATCCCAGCTTGCCCAGTCCTTGCCCAAAACCTCAATAAAAATATGAGCTATGCCTGAACAGGAAAGAAGTCAGGAAGTGCCAATATGGAGGAACTAAAAGATACACATGTCGCTGTCCATGAAAAAAGAAATCTACATTATTTTCAATAAATTAGGATTTTTAGGATATTTATAAATTCCTTCGTGACGATATACATATTTTTCTATACAATAAAAGTTTACCATAGTGTGGGCATAAGACCTGTTGTTAGGCAGTATTTTATGCAGATTTCATAAAGTAGTAATGCTAGCATAGAGTATTGTTTTAGTTCAGACAATAAGTAGTTACAGTACTGAAATTTCTTTTTTGAGAAAAAAGTATTTGAGTACAATCTTTACATTTAAAACTGTCATCTCTCATTGATAATTCATTATCTTAAGAGAAATATCCTATATAACACACATAAAAAAAGTTCACAGCTTCTGTCATGGTATGTTGTTTAGTGCAATAATATAAAGATGTTCTTGTTTGATTTCTTTAATCATATGGCACTATAACTATTTAAATAATTTTCTCAAGGGAGAAATCATGACTTACAGGCTTAGATGTAAATACAGTATGTTCTATAATGTTATAATACTGCATAAAACAAAAACATTCTTGTATTAAAGTGTACTAACAGCAATGAAAACACATTCTGGGTTCATTCTGTAGTGAGAAAGCAGCAGCAGGAAGTGGAAAAACACAAGAATGAATAAAGAGATAGCCCCTCTGTTGGATTAACTGATAAGGTCAAAATGAAAACAACAAACAAAAGGAATAGTACTGGAGAATTCAATGTTCTTGCTGACCTACATTCTGTCACACATACACACAACTGCCAAGTGTAAAACTGTTATCCCACTTAGTAGGCACATTCTATAGGAGGCTGATTTTGCAGCTAAAAACAGTAAGAGTTTCTACAATACACACGCAAGTGCACACACACATTAGTATAATAAACATTAGTAAGAACAAATGCCAATTATAAATTCACTTTTTAAAATACTAAAAATATTTCTATATAGTGATCACATAACTTACAAACATTTCCTGTATTGTCAAAGCTGGTAAGAACATCTTCAATATTCAAAGATCCACTATTATGCCTAGAAAGGAATAAAATATTTTCTTTAATAATTCTGGAATATTAAGATTTGCTATTTTTTTTTGAAAAGCTGAGACTGCATTGTGATACACCCTGTACTAATAAATCCTCCCATGTTGTATTTTTTAAATATTTCTGCCCACTAGAGGGAGAAAGAAAAGAAATAACAGAATATAGTCTTCTTGATATTTAATGAAATGACATTTCCTGATGATTAATTTACATTTTAAAGTATTGTTATTTTTATTGTTGTTTTTGTTACATAAAGATGGGATTATTAACATTTTTAAACATAACAAAACAAAACTAAACAAAAACTTACACTTGGAGAATCTCAAAAGAAAAATCATCAACCCCCAGAACCTCAACGATACATAAATATCCTCTAGAGCAGCCCAAAGAATTCAGAACATCAGTCACAAAGAACTAATCAACATTTGGGCCTGCACACTCCATGTGTATAGTCTAGATACTAGACCCATATTGGATAATGTGATTCGCAAATATTTTCTCCCATCATATGGGTGGCCTTTTCACTTTCTTGATAGTATCCTTTAAATCACAAAAGTTTTTAATTTTGATGAAGTTCAACTTACTTATTTTTGCTGTTGTTGTTTGTGCTGTTGGTTCCATATTAGCCCTGGCTTACTGTTAACCTCTAGTTTCAACCAGTACCTTTTTTTCCTCTTCAAATAATTATTTACCCTAGTGACTTCTCCTTAGTCCTTATTACTTCACAAGCCATTCTTGGGGAAAACTTAAAGGTCGTCAGCTCCTAGGTTAGGTGCTTGTGAAAAGAATTGGTTGGCTTTGGGAAGAAGAAACTATTGGTAATATTTTTTCCATTCACATTGTATAATATAAGGTTTATGATTCTTTTGATATATGGAGGACCCAAAAGGCTGAATTTATTTATAAAAAATTGTGTATTTATTCTTACATGTTTAAACTTCAATCCCTTTCAAAGCACTCTCCATTTGATGCAATACATCGAGATTTTTTTCCCACTGCTCAAAACAGTTTTTGAACTTGATTTTTATGCCTTTGAGTGCTTTCACCATTTTTTTTGTCTCACCTCTTCCACAACAGCAAAAGTTTCCTTTTGAGGACTATTTTCGTCCAGAGAAACAAAAAAAAAAGTCATTCGGGATGAGATCAGGTGAATAGGGAGGCTGGGGCATGGGGGTCGTGCTGTTTTTGGTCAAAAACTGCTGAATACTCAACACAATGTGGGCAGGTGCACTTGTAAATCATCCCTCATGAAACGGGCTAATGCAATGAAGGAGTCTTCCAAAAAAATTCACTGAAGCTGAACGCAGCCTCTCACACCACCACCAGCTGGCACACCAATGCAGATGGGTTCCTAGAACTCGCCTCGCAGGGGAAGCCTGTCCTGCAAGGGGCCCACCCTCCAGGAGATAATTCTGGTTTTGGGGGGTCCCCTCTCATATACTGTAAGAAGGTCATTATCATAGCATTAGCTAACACCTCTGTGGTGTCACATAATTATCATTTCTTTTTTTGTGGTGAGAACACTTAAATGAAAGTCTTGGGAGACAAGTTAAAGCTTGGGATTTTAGAACAAAGTTGGGTTGGCCAAATATGTTGGCAAAAAGTTGTAATTGTTATATACTAACATTAATTACCAGTATAATGCTAAGACTGTCCTTGAAGGTATGACTATGTAACCACATTGTTTAGGTAGGACTTAGGTAAACAGTTGAAAGATTAAGGGTAGACAAGATCTCACAGAGTTAACACTTGAATAAAGTGGATGACTCAAAGATCAAATAACAGTCCTTGAGTTTGGAGCAAATAAAAGTGAACTTGAAATAATCAAAATAAATCTTTACCACACTGTGTTCATGACCATTTTCCTACAATCGGCACTAACTGACATTATTCTTTCATGAGATCCCATCTTTTAGGATTTCTAGACTTTATAGATAATTGACTTTCATGTTTGTAAGTTACTGAGAGGTAAAGGATTAGTTTTGCTGTTTCTCTAATGCTGACCTCATTTAAAAACGTCATAGGATACATGTTCAATTTCTTGGCTTTAAGAAATAATGCTTTCAAGAAGATAAGTTTTGCATCAGTAATAACTGTGAAAATCACACTTTTTATTTCGAATACTGCTTTTAACTTTTAAACATGCATTTTGCTTCAGCTATCCCAATTTCTCCTTTTTAGATATATGTTAACTTTTTGCAAAATATATGTACCTTTTTTCTGCTCTTGTCTCAGATTCAGATTTCATTTAAAAAGTTTCTTTTATTCTGATTTGGAGGAGGGAGAGAGTGGGGGGAGAGAGGAGACAGGGGAGGAGAGGGAAGGAGAGAGAAACAAATATGAGGCAATGTCCTTATTAAAACTAGGCCATCTAGACAATAAAACAAGTTCACTTTTAGGAATTTATCCTAAGGAAATAATGAGAAATGGGCTTACTGATGTTTCTATAAGATGTTCATGGTAGCAATATACATAACAGCACAAAACTGAGTATAATCTAAAAATCCAATATAAAGTGTTGGTTCAATAAATTAAGGTGCTAATACTTATTCATTGGACTACTTGGCAGCTATTAAAATCATGTTTCAGGAAGAATAGTTAATGATGTGGAGAAATTGTTTATAAAATGTTAAATGAAAAAACACAAGTTGCAAAACGGTATGGACAATGCTTTCAGTTATTTAATGACAGGTATATAAGCACAGCATAAAATTTGAAGGCTATATACTAAAATATTAACTGTGGTAATGTTTGCATGATAGGATTATGAGAAGTTTTTCTAGAAGGAGCCATATATTGCTTTTACATTTAGGGAAAGGTTTTTTGGGTTTTATGCTGTATTGATGATCATTTCAATAGCTTCATCTTAGAGTTTAGATGTTCAATACTTTGTTTTTTTTTCTCTCTTCCCTCACATGTAGTTTGCCATGTTAGCATAAATTACCTTACCTATACCTAGAATCTTGCATGCACAGAGAAGATACAGAATCATTGTGTTATGGTATTAAAAGTTTGATTTGTGCTTGAAATAGGATTCCAGGAACTCCTCCGTAAGCGCTGGCTCAGGGGGCAGAAGCACAGAGCAGGCAGGCAGGCCGGTGCAGGGACAAGCAGTTCAGTGCGAGCTTCTCCCTGGGTGACTCCCTGCAGTGCATGGGACGGCCCTGTGTGGCTGCTAGGCTGTATTTTGGTTTTTATTTACTATGAGCCATTAGCTGCCAGCAGCCCTTGTTAGTAGGTATCTTCTTTCTCAGGATTCACACTACTAACATTAAAGTTATACTTTTTCAATATAAATTCAGTGTTCATATTTGCCTCAGATGATAGCCCTGTCAAGCTTTTACATGGGCACCTATGTTAACCCCCCACATACGGGTAATCTGCCATCCATCTAATATCATAAGCATATTATTCCCATCCCTGGTTTTCATTTATTGAGCACTCCCAGAGTAAATTCAGTGGGGTAAGGATTTGTTTTATTTTTTTTCCTTTCCCTAGAGACACAATAAATAATCTCGCTGCAGTGTATTTGCTGTATTGTACCCGAAAGATGCACCACAAAGACAAAGTCATTCTTGACTTCTTGCCCATTCTAAGCTCCCAGGACAAGCCAAAGTCAAGAGGCTTCTAATTCAGCAATTACCATAGCAACAGTAGTCTTACTCAAAGAAAGAAGGACAGTTCAAGCCTCTCAGCTTTTTCTATACGTAAGACATGTATACATTTATAAATGAATAATTCAGGCAATTCTATGGTTCCAAATATAATGGAAGTATTTTAAAGCTTCCAGAATATGTAAATTCCCACTGCACTGAAAATAAGATGAAATATGGAGTGTAGGAAACAATTTGTAGTATCTATAGAGTAAACTCTATACAATAACAGACACGGAAAAGGAATTTTTAATGGAAGATTTTTAGTATAAATACCTGTGAGTACATGTTAGTTTTCTATACATGCATCTATCTAATAGCACGTTCTAAGAGATAAAGCACCAGAAAGACAAGACGACTTTGACAAGGAGTAAGTACAAGTTATGCCCTAGATTTTGATTTCCTAATTCTCAACAGTCACTTTGAAACAAAGAATCAACCATTCTCAGATACACAGAAAAGGCAACTGATCTGGGGATTTCATAACCTAATGTTTACTTTGTCCAGACTTTGGCTTCTGATGGAGAGTCACCAAGGGAAATTCTTTATTCCCTCCTTTTATGCATCACGATGTAAAGCTGACAGGAAATAATGGCCAGCGTTTTAATACATACCACTGCTTATAGACCTTTTAATAATATAAGAAGATACAACTATGTACTTTGTATGAACAAATATCTAAATATTTACCCTATTGGGGTATTAATTTCAAGTCTAATAAAACTTTAAAGGAATGGAAGTTCAATATATAGAGAAATGTTAAGAAGGACAAGACTAATAAAAAGTATTGATAAGTATTAATCACCATATATACACCATCTCTGTTGAACTGTGACATGTGATCTTAGGTGGCAAGAACTGAGAAAGTGAAAATGGGGTTTATATTTATGATCTGTGAGAAACAAAAGAGCCCAAATGCTCAGCCCTTTATTAGAACCCAGAAGCGGATCTACTTTATAATGTATATTGATCACCATTCTTCCCCACAGAGATTGTGATGGTTTTCTCAGTAGCCTCTGATGACTCTGCCTTGCACTTTCTCATCCCTGTATATTTCCTAGTGCCTTTGCCCTCATCGGGAATGATTTCTCCCTTTCTCCCAGAACTTTTGAATATTTTAGATCCAGTGTAAACTGCTGCTCCTAGAGGCCTTCCAAAAATCACTCCTAACTCTCAACTCCTACTTACTGTGTGTGAAGCTTTCCACTCATTTAGTTATTGCACTGCCCGGTGAGAGTTCTTAGAATAGATGGTTAACTTTCCTTCTTATTTATTCTTTATTATTTAACTTTTCACATATTTAAACTCCTTGAGGATAGTATGTCCTTTTTTTTTTTCTTTTTTTGGTTACCTACCTAGAGAGTGCCATTAAATATTTATTGACCTGAATTTATTTAAAACCATTTCATCACTTTTTTTTTTTATCATTCCATAGTGTTGATTTAACATACTTAAAAGATAGAGAGGAAGATGATGGTACTCCATTTCAAAACTGCTTTCCAAACCACTACTTCTAGCTAATGAAAGTCATTTTTTTTTTAACTTTTCACGATTTAGAAGCATTTTAGATCTTGCTTCTCCACAACTGTTGTCAGTTTTGGCTCAAATAAACTCATAAAAATTCTCTAATAAAAATATAAAAATAAAACTTTCCACAATTTTAAATAATACAATTCAAATAATACTGAAGACAGTAGATAAAAGTAGCTAGCCCTGACCAGTATGGTTCAGTTGTAACCAGTTCTGCGAAGGGAAAGGTCACCAGTTTGATTCCCGGTCAGGGCACATGCCTGAGTTACAAGGTCGGTCACTGGTTGGGGCATATACCAGAGGCAACCGATCAATGTTTCTTTCTCACATCAATGTTTATCTCCCTCTTTTTCTCCCCCTCATCCCTTCTCTCTAAAAATAAATAAATAAAATATTTTAAAGAATAGATATAGGTAGCTAAAGAAACGTTACAGGAACACATTAAGAAAGTTGATATAAGGTATCAAAGGAACAGGAATGGAGACCCACGTTGGGCAGATAACAGAAAACAAAGAAAAGCTGTAACCACAAGAAACCAACACGAACAAAATTGGCAATGGAATGGAATGAATCAATCTTGGCAGAAATCCTCCCCTACCTAAGCAATTTCAGTAATTTGTTCAACTTCCTCTACAGTAACAGAACTATGGAGTAAGAAATGGAATGCTCAGAATAATCAGTGCAGAAACTGGTTTTACTAGGCCTCAATCCTTTCATCTGTAAAATGAATAGATGGATGCATGACTACCTCACAAGAGGTAAGATGTGTAGAAGGTAAATTGGGCAAAAGGAACATGGAACTCCTTGTACTATTTCTGTAAATTCCTGAGAATCTGTAATTATTTCAAAGCAAAAGTGTTTAAAAGTACACGTGGTGGACCCAGATCACCAGGGTTTGAATAGAGGCACAATCAGCCATTAGCTGTGTGACCTCCACTGAGTTACTCGCCTCTCTGGGCCTCACTTTCCTCATGTGTAAAGGGAGGATAGTAATAGTATTTACCCGAAGAGGTGTTGAGAGGATTAAAGCAAACTAATACATGTAAACCACTCACAGTTGTGTTTGTCACACAGCACCCACTAAATAGTCAGCCATTATTAATGTTGTTATGATTTTTTAAAATGTATTCTAAGATCACGTTCAGTTCTAGAATTCCATACATCCAGGCAAATTTTTAGCTCAGTCACCGTAAAGTAGGATTAAATGTCATAAATATATATACATACCTGTATTTATTCTTTCAAAAATGTACATGTCATAACCTGCTGGAGAGGAGTCTCAGTTCACATTGTAGCCTGGCTTCTAGCTACATCCAAGTCATCACCAACCATGAGGTGGAGAACCATGTCTTATTTTGAAAGTTTCAAGAACAAGAGATTTCACATGCTCTCCAGCAATGCTTACCAGGGTCTTGAAGATGTCAGGAAATTATTCTTGGCACAGTTTACACTTATTGCCTCTTGTCACCAGTGAATATAGAAGATACATTTTAGAACTTTGTACCTGAAGACTCCTACTAAATCTCTGTTTTCCTTCTCTTTAATTTCCTTATAGATGCGATCTTCCAATTGTTTAATTATCTTTATTTCTACTTCCCAGAGTTATTTTAAGAATTACATTAATTAGAATACATCAAAGCACCTAATTCTGTACCTGGCTCATACTAACACCTAATGAATTTTTCTTTCTTTCTTAACCAAGGACTCAACTAATTACCTCCATTAGAATGAGAGGCAGTTGAGGTATTCCAAATAGAATGTGCAGGCAAGCTAACAAATCCAAAAGTTTTTACTTTTCATTTGAAATTTTCAACAAAGCAGTATTATGAAACCAAATCTTAATTTTTCTTCCCTGCTCTCCCTAGTCAACTTTTATCTGAATCCCAAGTTTTAGCTATTATGGTGTCTTTTAAAGCTTAGATATTTTAAACTAAAGTAGTCCAAGAAATATATACTATAAATAGACATCCTTTGGGAAAACATTTTTTCTAAAATTATTCTTAGCCTTACCTAAACCTTATTCAGTCACATTTCCACTTAAAATCTTTTTCCTCTTCTTACAGTTACTGTAAATGTGCTCCTCCCTTTCAAAGTATGAAATCTTGTCAAAAAAAGGCAGATTTTATGATATCAAACACCTACAGTAATACTGCAACATGATAGACTGTAACTGCAGGAGAAAAGTGATTCAGTAAAAATGGTATCTTGTTACTTCAGTTTGCAACCCTTTTGTCTGTTTTCTAATGATTTTTAAAGCCAGAACAGTCTGCATGCTTCTCACAATATCCGTGTTTTCAGCTAAATTTTCTCCTCCTATTCTTAAGATTCTATTCTGAAAGTGACAAAACATGAATGGGATAAATACCAAAGCTTGATTTTTAAGATAACTACTACTTGAAGGGTAGTTTAGAAAAATTTTGTTTCACTTTCAGCCTCCTTGCCTCACAAAGAACTTGGTTTTTTGTCATAATCAAATGCTATGAGAGAATGGTTAAATGAACCCTTTGATTTGCAACACAGTTTATCCTCAAATGCCACTACATTTCTAAGAGGTTTTTTTTTTTGTTTAGTTCTGAGAATACAACAAGACTCAGTTAAAGCAGCGGGAATTCCTAACACAAAGGTGCAAAACCTAAATTCTGATAGAGATTGCCTGCAAATTCAATAGAATGACAATGAAGTTATTATTGTTTCTCTTTTATAAGAGAAAAATGCTTTTAAAAAAAACTCAACGAGTGATATTTACCTTAAGAAAATACTGTATTCAGGGTAGAAGACACTTGTATACTGGACCCATGCACCAAATTCCTCTTCAGTTTCCCTTTTTTTGGCTTCTGTTACTGAAAACAGATTAAACGATTCAAATCTTCTTACGGATACACGTCGCAGACAATCATCCAGGTGTTTGTGCTTCAGAACCTTTGAAATAAAACCAAATATTGTGGTCATATTACACAAACATAAGTGTTCAAAGTTTAAATGGTAAGGGGACTTTTATTTCCGATAATAGACAATTAGATAATTCAGAGCAACCTTTTACTGAAGACCACTAGAAAAGATGAACAAAATATTTTAAAACATTACTTGAAGGCATCAAAGAGCAAAAAAGATGGTGAAGGTATACAAGTTTAATATCTTTAAAAGGAGTTAAATCTGAAGAGGTGAGCCTGACTTTTGTAGCCACTTTTATTGTAGGACATTTGTCAATTCCAAAAGAAAGGGCGGAGAAGTAGCAACACCTTTAACAGCTTGTAGAGGTAGGAGGTACAGATTGAATTTCAAAGTTACAACATAAGCAGGAGTGTCTGAGCCTGTCCCTGTGGACGTGGGTATATGTGTGCGTTTTTAAAATAAATGAGTAATTTTGTTGCTATCATTGAAAACTGGGTTTTTAAGTATAGGAGAAAGGAGACATGGCTATAAGATTAATAAGATTAAGTAAAACCCTGTACCTCTGAATCTGAATAAAGTATAATAAAAACTAATGATTTCATTTTCTAAAAATATGTTTATTGATTTTAGAGAGAAATAAAGGAAGAGAAAGAAACATTGATGTGAGAGAGAAATACTGACTGGTTGCCTCCCATATGCACCCTGACCAGGGATCAAACCTTCAACCTATGTAAGTATGTCCTCTTTCTGGGAATCGAGCCTTCCACCAACTGAACCACACCACCAAGGGCTGGTTTCATCTTTTTTTAAACTATACATATCTTTCCTTCATCTGACCATTGAAAAAGTCTAGAAACAATGACCAACTAGAAGCAATAAGCACAAGTTGCTGTCTCTAAACACTATTTTCAATTAAAACAGAATAAGGCCCCTTGGAGAAATTGTTAGATAGGACAAGGGTCTCAAGGTCAGAGTGGTTCTTATAAAATGCTATTCTTGCTCAATGTTAAAATGTAACAGTATTTTGCAGACTCAGCTGTCACTTGATAAACTGGACTAGAACCCAAGGACAAGCTTAGCCAATTGCAAAGAAAAAACCAACATGTAATTAAACAGATAGTGTCTATAAGCAGTAGCTAAGCCTCCCTTCAGGGACACAGAACTTGGAAGTGAATCCCTTGTCTCCTTTACTTGCTTCAAGAAATAAAACTACCTAACAAGAACAACATCTAGTTCTTAAATATAGCAAAGGGCAAACCCACTGTGTTCGGTTGTAAAATGTCAGGAACTGTAGGGATATAAGATGAGCCTGAAACATCCTACACAAGAAAACAAGAAAGTCATTCAAAATTAAAAGTTATATTAACAGTATTCTGGAGCCGACTTGAATAAGGACCATTGGCCAAAGATGGGACAGGGTGAGTATTAATGAAGATAATAAATGTAATAGAATTGAAATACATCCGTTCATAAAGGTATTTTTCAAAATGCCTGGTTGTTGATCATGGAAAGATGCTAGAGAACCAACATATTTGAAAATCAGTAAGTAGAGAGAATCAAGTATTTCTCTGCCTTCCCTATATGAACTGCAACTGAGAGTCCAAATAGACGATCAGGGGAGGTTTCCAAGTAATAAATGAAGAAGGAATGACGGAATTAGAATATCACCATATTCAACCCTCTCATGAACTCATGAACCTAGGTAATCATCACCAAGAAGAGAAATAACCAGACATCTCTGATTACGGATGAAAGTATACTATACCCTCATCTTGACCAACCAAGCAAGACAAAAAAAAAATCAAATCTGAATCTGATTGAGTTTCTATATCTTATAGTATATAGGAAATATAGGGATAGAGGAACACATTAAGCATCATCAAATGCAATTAGCAAAACTCAAATTACAGGAAACTCTACAAGACAAAAATCCCAGTTTTTTCAGTAAATAAATGACAAGCGTTGAAAAAGAGACACACAGAGGGAACATCTATATTAAAAAGTCAATCAATAACAAATATGAACCAATAAACAAATTTTTGGATCTTATTTTGATCCTGTTTCAAAATAATCCAATTGTAAAGAAAAATTATGAGATAAAAGGGAAAATTTTAAAACCAACTAGATACCTCATGGCATAAAGGGTTTATTCTGGGTGTGATATGGTATTGTAATTATGTTTTTAAATGTCATCTTGTATAGATTCATACTGAAATATTTACAGAAAAAATGTCATGATATCTGAGATTTGGTTCAAAATAATTAGGGTTGGGAATATAATGAGCGAATAGAGATGAAAGAAAGTTGGTCAGAAGTTAAAAATTGTTGATGTTTATGGATATATGAGTGATTATTAAACTCTTCTAATTTTGTACATGTTTGATGTTTCCCAAAATAGAAAGTTTTTTAAAGATGTAAGACACTCTAATAGCCATAAACAAATAAAAAATATCTAAAAAATATAAAACTTCAAATATATTTAGAAAGTAAGCAATATACTTCTAAATAACCTGTAAACCAAAAAAGGGAAAGCACAATGGAAATTAGATATTTTTGAACTGAATGATAATAAAAATTCATTTCAAAAAATATAAAATGCAGCTAAAACTATGCTTAAAGGGAAATGTATAGAAAAGCTAAAAATCAGTAAACTAAGCATCCATTGCAAATATTAGAAGAAGCAAATTAAGTCCCCAAAAGAGCAGAAGTTAATAAAGTAGAAAACAAATATAGCAGGAAGAATTAACAACACCAAAAATTGATTCATGGAAGAGATTAAATAAAACTGATAAATCCTTGATGAGACTAATAAGAACAAAAGAAAGAAGGTATAAGTAACAATGTAACATAGGAAGATTACTATATATCCTACAGGCATTAAAAAATAGAAAAGGGATCTGAAAATTAGAAAAAAATGAACAAATTCCTGGAAAAACACAATACCAAAGATGACATAAAAAGAAACGGAAAGTCTAAATAGTCCGAAACTATTTTTAATAGAATGCATAAAAATCCTAACACAAAGAAAACTCCAGGTCCAGATTGCTCACCAGCAAATTATACCAATTGTATAAGTAAGAATTAATGCAAATCTTACCACACTCTTATTTAAATCCTTAAGTAACCCTACAGCATAAATACTTTGTGACAGAGGAAACTGAGGGAAAGGGACTGATTTGTTATTTGCTCAATCAGAGATCTATTAAGAAGTGAATACAGGGTTCAAATCTAGATAGTCTGACTACAGAGCCTAACTCCTAAAATGTCTGCTTGTTGAGAATATGGGAGACAGGCATCAAACATCCATTCCAACATCCTTCTAAGATACCTATATTATAAAGCTGGAAATTAAAGACTACATTTCCCAGAATCCATAGCAGCCAGAGTTGCAAATGTGATTTTAATTTAGCTAGTCAGGTGAACTAGCATGAGATTTGAAAAGAAAGATGGTAATAACTGCATTTCTGAAACTTTTACTGATAAGAACAGTTATAAAGACATTTTTGTTCTTCTACAGCACCTTTAGCAGAACTCCCAGTGTTCAGTCTAATTTAATGGAGAGTAAGAGGCAGCAGAAGTGCCATACCTCTGCTGATAAAGATCTAGCAGGCAAGGTATGCATCTGGAGTCTATAGTTTTGGCAGCAGCTGATCACCAGGGATCACAGATAAAGCGGTATGATCCTGGAGACAGCCTCAGGTTCTTCATTTTGGTAGAGGTGGCCATCTTCTTGGCAAGCCAACTTTACACTGCTCTGGGATGTTGTGTTGTTCTCGGACTCATTCTTGGCCTGTTCCTCCAGCTACTCCAAAGATTTTCTAAGAATTTAATTTGCTATATTAAACCCTTTTCTACTTAAAATTGCTAGAGTTTTTAATTTTTCTTTATTTTTTTTTAATTTTATTGATTATGCTATTACAGTTGTCCCAATTTTCTCCCCTTTGCCCCCTCTACCCAGAACCCTCCACTCCCTCAGGCAATCCCCACATCATTGTTCATGTCCATGGGTAATGCATATAAATTCTTTGGCTACCCCATTTCCTATACTCTATATCCCCATGGCTATTCTGCAACTACTTATTTGTACTTCTTAATCCCCTCACCTCTTCACCCATTCCCCCATACTTCCCCCTACCTGGCAACCATCAAAATGCTCTCCATATCCATGATTCTGTCTCTGTTCTTCTTGTTTGCTTAGTTTGTTTTTTAGATTCAGTTGTTGATAGACATGTATTTATTGCCAATTTATTGTTCATAGTTTTGGTCTTCTTCTCAAAATAAGTCCTTTTAACATTTCATATAATAATTGTTTGGTGATGAGGAACTCCCTTAGTTTTTTCTTGTCTGGGAAGCTCTTTATCTGCCCTTTGATTCTAAATGATATCTTTGCTGGATAGAACTGTCTTGGCTGTAGGTCCCCGCTTTTCACGACTCGGACTATTTTCTGCTAGTCCCTTAGAGCATACAAAGTTTCTTTTGAGAAATCAGCTGACAGTCTTATGGGAAATCCCCTGTAGGTAACCAACCACATTTCTCTAGCTGCTTATCATCATTTTGTTTAGCTCTTTTTCTGGAGTTTTGGACTGTTCTTTCATTTGGGCCATGGTTCTTTGTCTCCTCATTTTGGCAGCTTCCTTGTGTTTGTTTCTATGTATTAGGTAGAGCTGCTTTGACTCCATGTCTTGGTAGTGTGGCCTAATGTAGCAGGTGTCCTGTAGGGTCCAATGGCACAGCCTCTCCTATCAACCAAGCTGGGTACTTGAGGTGCTGCCTTCATGTGCGCTGAGTACACCCTTCTCTTGTAGTTGAGTCTTCGGCGCTATGGGCAGGTCAACAGAAGAGATTTATCCAGGCCACTCGGTTGCAAGAATCTGCTGTGACCACTTGCCACCAACCTCTGCCCTCCGTGGAGGATCAGATGTGCAGGGGCAGGTTGACGGTGCTCCAACATTGAATATAGCTGTCCACTGGGTGCGCAGGCTCTGTTGTTTCCAAGGTGGTGCAGGTTAAGGTCAGCCCCTAACTGTGTTTTGCCAAGGGCCACCCTACCTGGGCTACAGAACAATCTGAGATGCCTGCCGCTTGTGCTGGGCTTGGAGATTCCCAGGCAAAGCCAAGATGTGAATCTAGGCTGGCCGCTGCTAGTGCCAGGCCATCGTCCACTTAGCAAGAGGTAAGGCAGACTGAGGGCTCACTGAAGCCAGCTGTTGCTTCTTTGAAAGGATTTAGGAAGTTGTGAAGCACGAACCAAGACCAGCCATTCATATGGAAAAGCTACTATTAACAGCTGTAAGTTGGGTGGGACAGAGCCTCAGGGGATCTCCAGGGTGGGGCAAACAGTGTTAGCCAGGGTGATGGTGTCTTAGAGAAGGGAGCTGCCTGCCAGCTCTCTGGCTCTGCCCACTTTTCTCTCTGGGAGAAAGCAGTCTCCCAGCTCTCGCCTCAATGCCAGGCACTTCAGTTTCTGCCTGTGTGCCACTGGAGCCTGTCAAGCTGCTACCCTAGGACTGGAGCTCAGATGGAGTGAGTCTGAGAAGGTGACTCCTTGTGTGGGTTCTTTAAAAGGAACTGCTTGGGGCTCCAGAAATTTCTTCCTTGGATTCAATCCCTGCGGGTTTTTGCAGCCAGAAGTTGTAGGGACTTATTTTCCTGGTACTGGAAGCCTGGGCTGGGGGACCTGGTATACAGCTGGGACTCCTCACTCCTGAGATATCCCTCCTGAATTTTTAGGCACCACACATGGGTGAGGAACCAGCCCATTCCTCCTACTAGCCTGGATGGATGTGGTTTCTTTAACTCTATAGTTGCCAGATTTCCATTCAATTTGACTTCTGATGGTTCTGTGTGATGATTGTTCAATATTTTAGCTGTAACTTTGATGTGGTTGTGCAAAGAGACAAGCCATGTCTGCCTGTGCCACCATCTTGACTGGAAGTCGTAATTTGCTTTTTAATGTTAAAAATAAATCAACCAAATCCTTTGTTATAGAAACACAAAATAATGGGATTAGAAAACAGAAGATGAATGACTTCTACCCCTGGAAAATAATTTCACTTTAAAACAATCAAAGATGGAAGAGATTTTAAAGAAATCTAGTCCCACTTCCTTATTTACAAATGAGAAAACTGAGATCCAAAGAGGTTGCTCATAATCATACAAATAATTAAGGGATGATCTGGGCCTAACATCAAGTTGTTATTAAATTCATTTCTAGAACTCATGCTGTCTGTTTCAGCATTGATAGTCTCAAACACAGAGCATCCTGCTTTACTTTAAATTATACTGTGAAATATTCCATTAATCAGAATCTTCTGCCAAGTATTCAGACCTCTAGGCTAGATTATTCATTCTGTAGGCATTTGTAGGCATGTAATGGTCACTGCTACTTTTTCATCTGCCCTACATCCCTTGCTCTTAGGAACTGCTCCGTCTTTACTTTGTGTAATAATGGTGGGGTCGTTATCTTCCTTGACACCCATGGGCTGATGACCCAGGTTAGCCAAAGTGCCCCATTTTCCTGGCCACTGAAATTGGTCCAACACTGGCCCATTGGAGCCATTTGGAGTATATAATTTGGGTGCTGGAGAAAACGGTCATTTTTTCTGGCTCACTAGCTGGTGGATGATTAAAGGCTATAGTTGCCAACAGCCATCTTTGTCATCAGGTAATGAAATCCAACAAAGAGGAAAAGAGTACATTATCCATAGCGTGTATTGTTATTGATCCATGGACTCCCATACCTCATCTGATTAAAGTGGGCCCTAGACTCAAAAGTTAGTAATTTACCATGTGACCTGGTATCAAATAATGGACTAGATCAACCATGTTTTCTCTCAAAAATGCTAATTGTAAAACAGAAAATAAACTGAACAGTTACAGTGAAGAGTGATGAGATAGCATTGGAGCCTAATGGGTTAATGAAAAACAGAATTGTGAGGGACAAAACTAGCGGACATAAGCAGATATCACGAAGATGTCCCCTGAGGAAGAGAAAGAAAGCTGCATATCCTAGCACTGTTTAGGTTCCTCACAGTTCTCCAGTTCTGGATGCATAAAAGATGGTCCATTCATTTGAACATATTTCCTAAGAGCCTGCAAATGTTTAAAATACATGGTAGATTATTATTACAGAAAAAATAGTTTCTTCCCCCCTTGTCTCCAAGGAAAGAGTGTATTTCTCTGCCCCTTGACCTCAGTGGTTTGCTCCTATATAGCTCTGCCACCACTATGAGTACATATCAGCCAACTGGCCTAAGGGATTAGAGCCATGTGGACCAAGAATGTGGCACAGAGCCACTCAGCTGACTAAGTTAATTGATTGGGAGTCAGTTAACTCCCGGGTGGCCCACAGATGCACAAACAGAATAAATCCTTGTTGTATGCCACTGTGATGTTGTAGTTGTTTGTTATTCAGCAATAGCTAGCTGATACAATACACTAAGGACTAGGTACTATGGGCCACTTCAAGACTGTCCTTACTCAGGCTTTCTACAACTGACAAGATCTACTAAAAACCAACTAGCCGAGCCCTGTGCTAGATGCAGAGGATGAAGACTCATTAAACATCTTTTCCCAAGAAAGTTTCCATTCTTGTAAGAAAGATGGACTCTGATCAAATAATCATAAAATAATGTGATATGGGGTTCACCAAAAGAGTGGGCTGAGGGTCTAACTCATTCCAGAGGAGCTGGGAGAGGCTCCACAAAAGAGGAGATTGAAATGGAGGTCTTAAGGATAAACAGTCATTCATTAAGCAGAGAAGATAAAAAAGGCTTTATGCACAGGGCAGATGTGTACCAAAACATTAAAGGTCAAAGCCTGTGGGGAGGTCAGGTGGTAGCCAGAGCTGAAACTTGTCTGATGTAGACAGCAATTCAGAATGAGCATAGGTGCTGCTTAACTAGAGTTTTTCTATGCTAAGAATCACTGAAGTCATTACAATAAGATTTGATTAACTTAGGGCCCTAACTTACTACTTTCATAATTGGACTTTTATGTTTACTTCACTATAGAAAGTTCCTATGATAATTATAGGAGGACACTCACTTTTTTATCCCATAATATCAATTGTAACATTAATAGCAAAACGAGCTCTGGAAAGACTTTCAATGCATCAGCAAAGACATGATCTTTGAGTTATGTCATAACAGCACGGGAAGGCCACCGTATGAAAAAGTGACTCTGCAAACAAAGTGACTGCAAACAAAGTAACCCCCAAAACATTACCCACACAATCTCAAGTAAAGTGTCAATAGCTGGGAAACTCTTCTCGAAATAAGTCAGAAATGGGAAGTGTCCTCTTCGAGCTAAGTTTTCAGCAGGAAGCCTCAGACAGAGGCACAACACTGGTGTGTGGAACAATAAACAGATTTCACTTTCGGCAGTTTGGAAAGAGTCAGTGATGTCAAATCGGAGATCTGCCAAAGCTGCACATGACTGAAGTTAAAAGCCAATAGCAGCAACCTTTAGGTATGAGAAGATAACCGCCAGTAAACAAAAAGCCAATAGCAGCAACCTTTAGGTATGAGAAGATAATCGCCAGGGAGATCCCACCTTGGACAACGATCTCGCAGATCTCCTCCAACTACAAGAAACGCGCGTAACTTTCACACCGCAGGGAAAGGGGGCGGGAGAGAGCAGCTCTAGCTACTCCCTTCACTCTACGCTGTCACGGAAGAAACAGAGGCAACGCGTGCAACGTCAAAGTCCCAACACAGCGAACCACGCCGATCTACAAGGCAGGCGCCAGGCTTAGGGCTGCAATCAGGCTGTGAGTTAAGCAAGTAGAAGAAACCTGGGAAAGGAATTACAGCAAAAGCAGGAGAGAAGAACGGATACCGACCTGGGAGCAAGGAGAATATCCCGCCCCCCCCCCCACCCCGAATGAGACAAACATCTAAATAGGGGTTTTCTACTTCTCTCTGCGATTCCCAGGAACTCAGCGTTGGCTGCCCCTTCCCCGCACAACCCCACCTGAATCCTCCCTTTTGGTGGAACGCTTAGGTGAAGCAAGGGGCTCCCAACAAAACTGGGAAGTGAAAGTAGCTGCAGGTCGCTGGCCCTGTACGAGAGGGGAGTGGTCAGAGGCAAAGGTGAAGCTAGTGGGCTCTCCCTTACCTGCCGGAGAAGCTTCCACCGGGCAGCTCCTAAGGACGGGGCTGAGCACCCCAGAGCCGCACCACCGCTTGTTCGGCCCTCACCCGAGGAGCGCCCATCCTCGCTGGTCCCGGCTTCCGAGACTCCAGGCTCCATCCCTCTGGAGCCACCTATACACGAGCAGCTGCCACCACTCCTCTCCCCTGCCAGGACCTGCTTACTTCTTCCCTGTCAGGACTTGTGACGCCAACCCTCCTTCCCAACTGCCCTGGCCCTCCCCGAAATCCGCATTTCCGGTTTTCTCATCTCCTTGACAACCAGGCCCGCGTGGCTCGCGTCATTGCACCATTTTGCTGGTCGCCACCTTGAGTGAGGGCGGGCCAGAGGGTGAGGGATCTTTGACCGAGGTAGTAAGACACTGCCCCTCTTCGTTTTCTTCTTCCCTACTTCATCTAGAGCTAGGAATACTAGCAAAGAACCAAAAGGCTTATATTTGTGCGAGCTAAAGAACCCCAGAGAAAAGAAAAATCCATTCTTGACCACAGTAAAGATGGCGAAATCCGCTTAGTGCTCGTGCTAGATTGGGGTTACGTAGAAAGGCGTGCTGCAAACCAGCTCCCCACGGCTCTGGGTAGGTTGTGATTCTGCAAGCTGCAGCACGGAGACCTCGGCTGGACGCGACGGAGGTCACACCTCCGCTACTTCTAAGAGCTTCGGGTTCTTCGGCCTGCCTTCAGTCTTTCGGTGTCCAGAACCAGACTGACTTTGAATTTGCGTACGTATGGGTGGCGTGTGCTGGGGGTCTCTTCCTTTTTCCCTTTCTTCCCCTACCCCGCCACCCCTTAGTCCCTTGACCCTCGCTTTTTCGCCGATGTCCCTTCACTGAGTGGCACATGACATTCCACTCCCTCTCTCACTCACGTCGCCTCATCCCTGGGGTGGAGAGTTTCACCGGGAAAACGAGCAGTTTTTCCCGGGAACACCCATTCATCGACCCCACCCCCATCCCTACTCTTGCATAGTGTCTTCTCCTTGCAAAGGAAAGTTAGATGGATGAATTGAGGCTGCCCGCATGGATAGAGTGATTTAGGTTATTTGTTCGTTTCTATCTATTTTGCTAGTGTCGGCTACTGATCCCCCGTTCTCACTCGCCCGTTATTTTGCTGCGACACAGACATTAATGGAGGCGGGGGCGTTGGCGTGGTAGCGGATCAGAGCTGTGGTAAACCTGGCGCAGTATTGTGCCTTTGATACCGATGGGCATTTTGTGGAATACTTCCATGATGACATGCAGCATGTCCAGATTTTTTCCTATCCTAATAATAGTAGTCACCATTTATTGAGTGTTACTACGTGCCAGGCACTGGATTAAGATCTTAACATAGATTGTCTCTTTTTATACTTAAAACAACTCCATAGGGCAAATAGTGCCGTTATCTCCGTTTTGCAGATGAAGAAACTACGGCACAGGTAGAAAGTGTGCGAGTGAAGACCTTAATCCAGGTCTCTCTGATTCTTAACTACTTACTAGTTTTAATTACCTTCATAGGTTAGTAAGAACCAACTTCCCAACAGAAAACAGAGATGGTCTCACATGTTATTTGTGCATCCTGAAGTAATTTTGTCTAGCTAAAGAGCTAAATATCTTTATAATGTTAAAGTCCAGTCTTTGGGGTCCAAGATTTTGGACTTTTTGCTCTACTACTTACTGTCCAGGCCACCTGGGCAGTTGCTTAAACTTCCCAGAGCCACAGTTTGCTCACCTGTAGAATGAACATCATAATAGCTACTCTCTCAGGTCCTTATGGAATTTAAATTTAGACAAAGTATGTAAAAGCATCTGGCACTTAGCAAACACTAAATATATATTAATCCCCCTTCCTCCACTTTTATTAAGTAATTAGGCTTTTCCAGTTTATCCTCCATATACATACACACTTACCCAACCTATGTTCTCAATTATGTAAGATCAAAGCCATTTTGTCTTTTAAAACTCAGTACATGCCCCCATTAAGTTTATGTACTTATTTGCAAATTTTTATTTTATTATTTTGTTTTTTGTTTTTTGTTTTGTTTTGTTTTGTTTTTTAGTTTGCCCCTATGTGTACCAGAATCAGTGCTGCATAGTTTGACCTGATAGGACTGACTTTCCAAATGAACCATTTTAGTTACGTCGCCAAGAAGTATGATTTGAATGAAACTTTAACTTTCACAAGTTTTCAGATATTTTTAACCTGAGTTCTCAGCTGTCTGCAGTTACTCATTACCTGAGGGTGCACAGCCCTGAGGGGAGGGATAAGCACTGCGGATCATAGATGCTCTGAGAACCCACTACCGTATAATCTACCTTTGAAATCACTCCGTGCTGGCAGCCCCGAAAGGGAGCGTAAACCAGGGACTTGATATCATGCAGCAGAAGAGCAAATTATTTCTCCGAGCTTTGAAGTATAGTATTCCTCACCTTGGGAAATGCATGCAGAAACAGCATTTGAATCACTGTACCTTCGCTGATCATTATTACAGTAGAATAAAATTGAAAAAATATCACCTAACCAAGTGTCCGCAGAATAAACCCAAGATATCAGAGTTAGCAAGAAACATCCCAAGTCGGAGCTTCTCATGTAAGGTATGGACTGTTTAAGTTTACCTATTTGTAGGTCATTAAGATTAACTTGAGCTTAAAAATAATTCTAGTTTGATTTTTTTAAATGTTCAGGCTCAATTGTCTGTAGTCAAAATAAATGTAAAGAATATATACATATATTTATAGAGTTCTAATGTAATATATAAAAATATATTTAATAGATTTACGTAATGATTCACCTTAGAAATTCCTTAGTGTGCCTACCGGTGCAGTTCAAAGTATAATTCAGTTTCCTAAAATTCCTAGAATATCATAATAACTCTTAATAAAATCTAATGTTACAGTAATTGTTTTATGAATACCAAATTAATACACTTCAGTAAATGCTATGCACTTGTGTGTTACTTCTCTGTAAAATGAAAAAAGGACTTCCATATTTGACCACCTGAGTCATTTAGGAAGATGCTTTCAGACTATTGTACTCTGGCCAGACCTCAAGCTACAGGCAGTCACGACCCCAGCCGTGAGAACCCAACTACCCTTATATGTAGGGTAACCACACATCCTAGTTTGCCTGGGACGGTCCCAGTCTACACCTGTTGTCCCTGTGTAATGAATAGTGTCCCCTTTCCTCTCAAAAATGTCCTGCTTAGGATGGTAAATTATATACATCCTATTTGTTTGAGATTAAGCTACTTATTTATGCTGCTGCATCTTTCTTATACCTCTTTTACCCTATACTTGTTATGGTCCTTAGGTTCCTTAAATTACATTTGGGGGTAATATCCTTGCAATAGTTAGCATTTTATTATTTTAATTTCTGGCTTTAATTGTATTGTTGCATACTGATTTTTCTTCTTACGCTGTTTTGACTCCCTCATTTTTTATTGTGGTAGAATATGTATAACATAAAATTTGCTATATAAACCATTTTTAAGTGAAATTTAATGACATTAATTACATTCACAATGTTGTACAGCCATCACCACTATTCCCAAAACCTTATCATCACCCAAAAACATGTACCAGTTAAGCAATATCCAACCTTTTTGAGCCCCTGGTAACCTTTAATGTACTTTTGGTCTTTATGAAATTACCTATTCTAGATAATTCATGTAAGTGGAATCATAATATTTACTCTTTCGTATTTGGCTTATGTAGCTTAACATAATCTTTTTCAAGGTTCATCCATTTTGTAGCATATATCAGAACTTCATTCCTTTTTATGGCTGAGTAATATTCCATTATATATATATATATATATATATATATATATATATATATATATATATCCCACTTTGTTTAGCCATTCATCTGTTGATGAACATTCAAAATTAGCAGCTTCTTCTAATTTTAAAAATGATTTTTTAACATTATTTTACACAGTTTATCTTTAATTTTTGTTCTTAGCTAGTACTTATTTGTTGTAGGTTTTGTGTGTGTGGTGTTTTTTGTTTGCTTTTTTGCTTTAAACTTTTTATCTGTTAGTCCCTAGACTTTTTACTCCTTACATTTTAGTCTTTCAAATTATTTTTCTTTTTATAGCATCTTAATTTAGCACTTTGATTCTTTCTTTACTCATGCAGAAATTCCGTATGCCTTTTATTTCATTTTTACCTTTTGTTTGTGCACACACATGAACGACTTTATCCTACTTTTACAAAAAAAAACTTTTAAATTTTACCTGTTGGACACATTTTAGACCTTTCACTCATTTTATTCTGCCTGTGTTTAGAACGTTTTGTCATCGTGTGCTTTCATCCTAGGTCTGAGCTTATAAATAGCAGGGAGGATTTACCGTCCGAGTGACAGCTGAGAGATCAGCTCACATCCTAGGCAGGAGGTTGGCTATTTTTTCCCTCCGTTTGTCCCTGAAGGAACTTTTTAATTCTTTTTCATAGATACCAGTCCCCTAGAAACTTTATCCTGACCCATTCGCTTCAAGAAAAGTGGCTCTTTTAGTAATTCTTTCACCTAATAAAGTGGTCCTGTTTTCACATGTCATTTGTCAACCATTCCTTCTATGAGAAATGGTAAGATCTAAAAGCTGTGGTCTCTGTCCTTAGTGGCCACTGGGACCTGGGGAAACTGAAGAGACCTGTAGGCAGCAAACACTTATTCAGTTCCAACTCAGTCCACGCTTAGGGGTACAATAAAGTAGAATAAGTAATTAGTTCCTGTAGAAAAAAATAAAACATATTTGCTTAAAGTACAGACCTATTTTTACAAGGTAACTAAAGAACAACATACATGATACAAATGCCAAAAAGCAAAGGATCGAGCCATGACTGGTGTGCCCGGGAAGGAGCCAGGGCTCGAATCTTCCTGAGAGGGCTGTGGGGGCGGGGGGGGGGAGGGCGGTGGCAGGAGAAGGTTCAGCTTGGTGTTCACTGAGTCAGGGGTCCCCAACCCCCAGGCCATGGGCCACAGACCCACAGACCGTGCACCGGTATGATCAGTGCCTGTTAGGGGCCTGGCCGCACAGCAGGAGATGAGCTTGACCGTAATGTGCTTGAAGCATCCCCGAACCATTCCTTCCCCTCCCCAGTCTGTGGAAAAATTACCTTCCCACGAAACCAGTCCCTGGAGCCAAAAAGGTTGGGGACTGCTGCTCTAAAAGTCCTCCAGGTGCTAATTTCATTCTGTGCCTTTTACCTTATTAGAAACAAATTAGCACCTGTGTCTGGACTCTTTAGTACTAACTTCTATAGCTGTACATCAGAAGTCCTGAGGAGCTTTGTAGAGAGACAGATTCCTGCATCTCACCCCACATCTGCTGGGTCAGGATCTCTGTGGAGGAGGCCTAAGGGGGTCTACTGTTTGTTGTTGCTGGATTTGGGGGGTTTTGGTAAGTTCTTTAGGTAATTTTGAAATTCCCAGCCTGCCACTGACCCTGGGCGTGCATTTAGGAACTAGAGACTCTTGGTGATCAGTGAGCAAGCGTTGCCGACCCCAACCTGACAGAATTCTGTCATTCTGAAGCTCGTACTGGCAAGTACCTTAGCTTTCCATTTGACATTAGCCAGATGGCAAGATGAACTTATTCCATTACTCCCAGACCAGCTAGTAATATTCAAAGACTAACATGAGACTAGATACCACATTTATCTGCCACATCATCCGGCTCTGCTCTGCTTACAAAAATATTTTCTAAAATCATTGATCGTGATAATTTGAATGAGATACAATAAGAAAACCAAATAAAGAAAGAAAAGAGAAAGGACTAAGTACTTTGGTTAAACATTGGCCCATTGGCTATTTTTACAATATAGATTAGCAGTTCCTGTAGTAGTCTAAGATAGATAGGTTGGGAAATAGCTATCTCCTTCACCGGCACTACTGATCTATGATTTGTAGGAATCCCTGGTTCTCACTAATAGGTTGAAAACATTGCCAGGAAAGGAGAAAGGGCCTATTTTAAAAGAAAAGAAATCCAGAAAGAAAAAAAAATGTAGTCTTGCAATACATTTTTTATAATAGTTCACAGAGTAGAACTGCCCTATAGGTACAACTGCATCATTGGTAATTTCTCCACATTCCATTTACTCTTTAATCTGCTGGAGTAGGCTCCCATCCCTCCATGAAAACCTCTGTCAGTGTCACCAAAGACACATTTCAACCCAGGAGACACCTACGTTTCCTCCTCTCACAGGCTCCCTCAGCAGACTTGACAGTCCTGCCCGTTTCTGCCGTGAGCTACTCTTCCCTTGGGGCCCCTTGATCCCACCTTTTCCTGGTTTCTCCTACCTTACAAACCTAGCCTCCGTCTTTTTCTAACTTTTCTTTCATATGACCTCCACAGTTTGGAGTTTCTCAGGGCTTAGTCCCAGCTCCTTTTTCTCTCTTCCTAAGTAACTTTTATCTTTTCCAGTGGATTTAAGTACTGTAGCAACTACCTGCATCCCAAACTCCCCTTTGAGCTGTACATCGTGGGCCTCTCACCGACTTGTCCAACCAACTGTCCACAGTTGAACTTCAGCTCTTCCAACTTTGACTCACCTCTTCTTTATCTCATTGCTGTATACTCAGTTGTTCAACGTGGAACGCAGGAAAGCAGTATTTATTCCCCCTGTCTTTACCCTGCCATCGTATTCATTAACTGTATCCTAAACTAGCCTTATGATTTTTTGCCTCATCTCCATACTACCTAGGCTATTATTTACTTAATTATTTTAGTTTCATCAATTTGTCTTATCCTAAGGACTAACTTTCAGTATATCATCAGTCTGATGTATTAGTTGTACTTTTTCTAATATCCAAATTGTGTATACCATCATGTCTGGAATGCTTTTAGAAAAACTGCATTAACCTCTAAAATATAGGTCAAATCTGTCCATGTTTCTCCACCTCTACCCTTACCACTTGGTCATCTTGCCCCTTGACCACTGGTAAAGTCACCTAACCAGATTTTTTGCTTTCCTCCTCCTTCCATTTTCTTTCTCTTATTATTTTGTTTGTGGATGTCCAGTTGTCCCAGCACCATCTCCTGAAAAGGCCTTTTCCCATTGAACTGTCTTAGCACCCTTGTTCAGAATCTATTAACCGTAAATGTAAGGGTTTATTTCTGGACTCGCAGTTCTATCCTGTGGGTATGTCTGTCTGTCTTTAGGCCAGTACTCTATATTACTGTAGCTGTGTAGTAAGTTTTGGAATCGGGAAGTGTGTGAGCTACATCTTAAAAATGAAAAAACTAAAGCACAGAACCAAAATAAAGTAACACACACACACACACACACACACACACACACGAATGAATCAGAACTAGACCTCAGGTAACCTGACTCATGCTATTTCTTTAATCTTACTTTATAAATTACTATAAATATATACAAAGCCAGAAAGAATATCATAATACCCAAAAACTACTTTATGCTTCACATTTCCTAATTTACCTCCCCACTGTAGACCATTGTCTTTAATATCTTTCTGTGTATGTTTTTATGTAAATTGCACATGTATCCACAGATGATACATAGTATTGTTTTGAAACTTTCTATAAGTAAAATACAATTGTATAACTTGCTTGTTTGCTCAACATTAGG